AGCACCAGGGGAGGGGGAGCGAGCGGCGAAGAAGCCGCTGCCGCCGCCGCCGCCCCGCCAGGCAAGCAGGCGGAGCGCAGCACCAGGGGAGGGGGAGCGAGCGGCGAAGAAACCGCTGCCGCCGCCGCCGCCCCGCCAGGCAAGCAGGCGGAGCGCAGCACCAGGGGAGGGGGAGCGAGCCACTCGCTCCCCCTCCCCTGGGTAAATTCGCTCCCCCTCAGCCCGGGTAAATTCGGCCGTATTCTTCAGCCAATTCTTCATGTGATGCTCCAGGTACGGCCCTCCCCCTTCCATTCCCTGCGGCGCTGCGTGTCGAGGCCAGGACGGAATACCCCGGGCCGCCGCAGCCAAGCGCGAGGGGGAACGTATTGATGTTAGACTGATTGGTCTGTAGTTCCTGGATCTGTTTTTTTTTCCTTTCTTGAAGATGGGAACCACATCAGCCCTTTTCCAATCATCAGGTACTTCCCCCGATGCTCCAGGATTTTTGAAAGATATGGTGCAATGGTTCTGAGATAACATCTGCCAGCTCCTTCAGAATTCTGGGATGTAATCTGTCGGTCCTGGTGATTTATATTCATCAAGGTCAGATAGGTGTTCTCTTACCATTTTCTTGCTTACTTTAATTTTTGTTTCTAGTTTATCTTTTGCAGTATTTTTTTTGGTATGTTGTGCTATAATTTCTTTTTGTGTGAAGACTGATGCAAAGAATGAGTTAAGCAGCTCTGCTTTCTCCCTATTGTTTGTTACTTCCTTCCTTGCCATCTTCTCTCTTTAGTGGACCTACAGTTTCCTTGACTTTTTTCTTGTTATTAATATGTTGATTTTTTTTAAATTATCCTTGCTTTCTGTTGCAAGTCTTTGTTCATTCTGAGCCTTTGCTTTCCTGATTTCATCTTTGCATGTTCTGTCTGTCTGCTGATAATCAGCCATAGTTATGTGTCCCTCTTTCCATTTTTTGTACTTGTCCTTTTTGTTTTTCAGTTTGTCTGAGAGATCTTTGTGCAGCCATGCTGGTTTCTTCTTGACTTTCTTGTTTTGCTTTTTCAGTGGTATTGTGCTGGACTGGGCTTTTATGATCACATTTTTCAGAGTTTCCCATGTTTCTTGAGTTGTTTTCCCCTTTAGGATTTTCATCCGTGAAATCTTCCTAGGTTCTGAATTCGTTAAAATCAGCTCTTTTGAAATTTAAAACATTGTTTGAATTATTTTATATTGCTTGTGTTTGTATTATATTGAATTCCAGTATGACGTGGTCACTTTCCCTCAAGGTTCCAGCAACTTTAACTCCCTCTACCACTTCTTCTTTATTAATAAGAATTAGGTCCAGTATAGCTTTACTTCTACTTCCCTCCTCTACCTTTTGGATGACAAAATTATTGGCTAGGTTGGTTAGGAATCTGTTTGATCTCCTGTTCGCTGCAGAGTTTGTCTCCCAACTGATATCTGGGTAGTTGAAGTCTCCCATTACTGCTGTGGTATGCTTCCTACATACATTTGTTAACTGGTTGGCAAAGAGTCCATCTATTTCTTCTGATTGGTTGGGTGGCCTGTAGTATACCCCTATGGCAATGTCATTCCCTCCCCTTTATATTGACCCATATAGATTCTGGAAGACTTTTATCTTTGATCATGTGGATTTCTGTAGATATGTAGTATTCTCTTACATATAGTGCAACTCCCTCTCCTCTTTTTGTAGTTCTGTTTCTTTTGAACAATTTGTATCCATCCATCAGTCCATTCCAGTCATGGGTTTCGTCCCACCAGATTTCTGTAATGCCAACTGTGTCATACCCTCCCTTGTGTACCATTGCTTCTAGTTCACCCTGTGTGTTCCTCAAGCTTTGAGCATTAGTATATAAACATTTAAGATGTTTATGTCTGTCCATGGGTATGTTTCCTGGATCTCCTGATTGTTGTTTGATTTTTTCTTTTTTCTCATCACTCCCTACCTCTTTTTGCTCTTTTGCTCTTTTGCTTGTTACTCAGCCCCAGCCCCTGTAGCCAGCACAAAAGATACCATAGTCAATGATATTAAAGTTTGCTGAGAGATCAAGAAGAGCAAGGATGTTTGCATTACCCCCATCCTGCTCTTGCCAGAGATTATCCACAAGTGTGACTAACAATATAAATAAAGTTTTAATTGTTTAAATTTAGCTGGTTTTCTTAAGAAAATAAGTTATGATACTACATTATAAAAAAAAGAAACATAATTTTGGAGTGATAACAAAATATTATTTATCCCTCAAATTTAGAAGAATTTATGCTATTTCTGACCTAACCAATCCATTGTCATCACAACATCCAACTATGAAGATGCAAGCACACTACTGTAGATATATCAATATTTTACATAGATTAAACCAGGAGTCTTCAAACTTGGCCCTTTTATGACTTGTGGACTTCATCGCCCAGAATTCCTCAGCCAGGCATGTTGGCTGAGGAATTCTGGGAGTTGAAGTCTGCAAGTCATAAAAGGACCAAGTTTGAAGATCCCTGGATTAAACAGAGGTAGCTGAACAGAGGTCAGCTGAAAACTCTATTATGAGCCCAGGGTCATCTATAGCAGGGCTTTTCAACCTTTTCACCCATTGTACCACTTTTAGGATATGGCAATATCCAAGTACCACCAGTCGCCTAGCAAGGTGTCAAAAACTTGACCCAAAAAAAGGGAAAAAGTGATAAAGTACAGCTAGTCCTTGACTTACAACAGTTCGCTTAGTGACTGTTCGAAGTTACAATAGCCTGAAAAAAGTGCCCCCAAGCCACAGCTGAGCAAGACACCTGCCTGCCCACCCAGCAGCGCTCTTCCTCCTGTCCGAGGTTTTCATTGTTGTGAGCATTTCTGTTGAGGATTGGCAGCAGGGGTGGGGTGAGGGGTGTTTGGTTTTTATTCCTCCCGTCTGCTGGGTGGTTGCAGCAGGTTTTGGTCACTTCACATGACCCTGGGACACTGTGACCGTCATAAATATGAATCAGTTGCCAAGCATCTGAATGTAAATCACAAGACCCTGGAGATGCTGCAACATTCCAGCTGATCGGCGCTTCTTCTGGGCTCAGCAGAAGTGCCAGGATCAGCGCTGAGCTCCAGCTGGAGCCTGGTGCTGATCCTGGTGCTTCCGCTGAGCCCTGACAGCCCTGTAGTTTCAGCCATCTCTCGCTCAGGCTTGTGCGGTGCTGCCACTGATTCAGCTCATTCCCCTCCCCCGCTACCACTTTTCTAGGATGGTCGCATATCACCTGCCAGGTGCCAATGTACCCGTACCACTGGTTGAAAAGCCTTGATCTATAGAATGACAATAGCAGCCTTATGGCACTGTATTGCAAAGATCTCTCTTTTGAATGGATATTTGGCATTCTAGTATACATAGAAAAAGAATAGGACTTGCATTACAACACTGCTTTTGCAGTAGGACCTCCCCCCTCCCTTTTCTCACTTGGACTCACCACATGGACCTTTAAAAGTTACCGGTTTACTAATTTAGTCCCTGCAAAGCCCTTGGTTTCTAGCCTTACACCTTAACCACTATACCAGACTAGTTCTCCTTCATACTTGGTATGAAGTATGTTAGGATAGCATATACCAGGTGCAAAAAGTCACCATAATGGTAGCCATTGTTTTCTGTTTTTTAATGTTTTTTTAATGTCAAGTAGAACTTGTTCCTCTTCCATGACATCTTTAAACACACTCTTAAAATGAACTTTTAGGTTCATTGTTCAGAAATATCCTTCAGTATGTCCAACATTAAAATATTTTCTATTTCATTCTGTAATTGTAAGTTAAATTAGAGTGTTCCGCTTTAATTATGATCTTTAGTTTTTTCTAGTGTTAAATTTTTTAAAGAAAATTAAAAACAAAAGTATTTTCCTATGGGAAGGATTTTTTAAAATTAATTCAGTATTCTTATTTCAAATTTACTTGGATCCTCAGTATGTTTGTAATTTTCTAAAATCAAAATACGTGTAGTGACAGGACCATTTTTCATACTTATAACCATGGCAGCATCCCCGTGGTCATGTGATCAAAATTCAAATGCTTGGCAACTGGCTTGTATTTATGACAGTTGCAGTATCTTGGGATCATGTTTTTGAGACCTTACTAATTTAACTGTAGTAATTTCCTTAACAACTATGGCAAGAAGCATCATAAAATGGGGTAAAACTAACTTAACAACTATCTTGCTTAGCAACAAATTTGGGGCTAAATTGTAGTTGTAAATGAAGGTTTACCTCTATTGATTTTTGCTATTTGTTTAAAAACCTTTTTTTAGTTCTTAAAATTGTAATTAAACTTTATTTTGCTAAGAATTGATGGAAACTCATCCATTGCTTTAAACCTGTCAATGTAAAGTTCCTAATAGCTTCAAAGTAATTGCGAGCAATTTCCAAAAATAATTAGAAAAATACATCTTGCAATCTTAGTGTCCTTTCAAAGGTGCTGACCATGATTTGAGCAAAATGGCTATTCTCTTCTCTCCCAGAACTCTATATCCACTGGAGACTACTGTCTTGTAATCTCCACATGAAGAGAAGATGTCTGGAGCACTTATGAATGCTCTGAAGCCATCTCCATGTCCAGAGAGAAATTAATGAAGAACTGGTCTACTCATCAGCTTTTCATTCCACTGAAATCTTTAGCTCTGGTTTTCACAGAGCCATCTTTAGCCCATCATTTCTTCCCTGGAAGTCCAAAATCACATTTTAATTACTGACTTTCACAATGAAATTACAGGTTGTTTTACTATGAGTAGTTACTAATATTGAGAATGGCCTTACACTGATTTAAGTTTCACATTTATAATAAAACTGGAGTGCCTATACTTCAAGCACTCTCCATTTTTAGAGGATTTTTGTAATATGTAAAAATTGGATACCTTTTAATTTGTCTTATGTTTTGAGCATAATGCTTTATTATTCCAATCATTTAATATTTTCCTCCTTTTTCTATAGATGTAGAATATGATGGCTGATGTGTGATCCAAGAAGCGCTATTAAAACAAATATAAAAATAAGTATATATTAAAGTTAAAAGTGTCATGAGGAAATTTGTATATTGCAAAGTGGTCCTTGCCACTTCATTGGTTTGGGTCCTTTTGGATATGTTTATGTTACTTTACTTCAGCGAATGCAATAAATGTGATGAAAAAAAAGAGCGAGGACTTCCACCAGGAGATGGTAAGTATTATCTTAGAGCTTTCAGGGTCCAGAGTTGGAAAAAAATGACAGTGATTCAGAATTATAAAATATTACTGTAAGGTGGTTGAACTATTAAGAGAAAAGCATGTTTGCTTTCATTAAAAGTGATCTAGATCAGAATAATTGTGAGGTAGATCTCCTCCAATCATAATGTATCACAAACTGAATTCCATTCTTTTTCAAAAGTAATTCAGCATGAATGGAGCAGCTTTGTTTGTATCCTGCCTTTATTTCTTTGAAAGTAGCGCAAGTTGGCAAACATACCTAAATACTCCTCCTATTTTCTCCACAACAACAACCTATGAAGTGAATTGGACTGAGAAAGAGTGATTGATCCAAGATAACCCAGCTGACTTTCATGATTAAAACTAGATCAAAGTCTCCTGCTTTTTAGCTTGGTGCCTTAACTACTAGACCAAACTGACTTTCTGAAGAAATGAAAAAAAGAAAAGAAAAATAGTCTTGGATATATAATTGGTTGCAAAGCTGTCAGAGACTGTGTTTTGTTGCAGTGGATATGTTACGCCTTGCAGGTGCTTGAGGAAGAGGAAGGGAAAATGGCAAAATAAGCTTTGCAGAGGCAAGTTGATTTTGAATTTGAGCTTTCAATTGAAGGAGAGATGGAAATTTAAACAGTGTTCACTATTGAGATTTGTGTGATTCTGGCTTCTTGCCATGAAGTTTTTACTTGTGGATAGTGAAGTGGGAAGTCAAATGGGAATAAAGCAATTTCTTCTTTCCCTCCTGTCTTCTCAGTAATGGTGGATAATTACATGTAATCCTCAACTTATGACAACAATTGGGATTGAAATCATGGTAGTTGAATGAAGCAATTGTTGAGTGAGCCATATGATTGCTTTACCAAACAATTGAACTCCTACTTGTGGTTGTTAAGTATTATGCAGGTTGTTAAGTGGACAGAGTCTCAGGTAAGAGGCTGAGGTAGAGGAGACCCTGGAAGGCTCTGCTCAAGAGCTGAAAATCCTCCCTTTCAAAATCCAGATACTCATTTGCAGCCTACTCTGCACCTTCCAAGGCCTCTTCCGCCCTTCTGAAGCTTGATTTAGACTTGTCTGCAGCAGAGTAGGTGTCAATGCGTACCTATGCTGTGAAGAGGTTGATGGGTAAGCATAGGTTGCAGACAGGCTGATGTGCACACCTTCAAATCTCGACTACTCATTGTGTAGAGGTGCTCATTCTGCATACTGATTGGTTGATCCTACTTTCTGTTGGGAGGCTTTGTTTGAGTACCCCTAGTAACCCATTAACATTTGCAGAAGTATAAATGCAGCAGTTATGCAACCGTCTCCAAATAACAGATGTATACTTTCCCTGATTTGCAGTGACACAAAAACTTAATCATGGCTTAAGGCACTCCACACTTCTTACTTTACTATGCTCACTGTCCACTCTCTGCTTGGATTTTGGCTCCCTCTTGTCTATGGGTACTGACTGAAAGAACAGCTTAACTCTATGCATGGAAAAGAATTATTTCAGTAGGGTGTGGAAACAAAGTTGAATTTTTCAGAGTTTGAAAACCTGAAAACTCTTCCCTCTTCAAGCAACTTGTTTAGCCAACCCCCAGAAATGAGAGAGAGTCCCCTTGGCAGGTAGTGCAATGTTTAATGACAGATCAGAACTGCCATATTTCCAAGTCCGTCATAATTCTGGAAGGCTGTTGAATGAAAGGTCATAGGTTGTGGACTACTTACCTGTATAAGCATTGAGAAGCTAAAATGTTTACTGGAGGCTATTGTGATTTAATTTTAATTTTGTTATTGTCTCCTTTATCCTCAAAAAGAGGTCTAACTGCTTGCCAACATTTTTACAAGCCATGATAGAGAAATAGGTATCTGGGAAAATCCGTCACAATTTTTGATATAATGGAGAACAACTTCATTACAAACATGATATCTTTGAAGTGATTGCTTTCTGCATTGCAAGTGCTTTGGATTTTGTGGTTACCAGCCTCAGCCAGTTTTGAGTAATCTTCTATATAAGTCAGTTCACTCTGTGGCACTAACCTATAGCAAGTCATACCTTTGGGGCAACTCTGAGCAGATTGTGAGTGATTAGAACAAAAAATACAGCCTAGCCCTAGAGCATATTTTTCATCAAATATATTCAGCTTAGAATATTCTCAAATGGCATTCTGGTCAGTTATATGACCCAGTGTATATCTGTAATGAACAGATATGAGAGAACCACACTTATAGATATGCAGCCACTCTATATGGCTCCTATGAAGAATTAATGTTTGCATTTTCCTCCAAAATTCTTTTTATCCAGTTTCAAGATTTATTTCATATAGCTTTCTTAACCTCAGTGCTGCATAATTCTCCAATATGTATTAAAGGTTGTATTGTAGTATATTAAATACAGATATTGTGGTCCTTTTAAATTGTTTAGTTATGATAATGTTTTTATTAGTTCCAGAATTGGTGCAAAAACCTCATGAAGGTCCAGGAGAAATGGGGAAGCCTGTTGCCATTGCTAAAGAAGACCAAGAGAAAATGAAGGAAATGTTTAAAATCAATCAGTTTAATTTAATGGCCAGTGAAATTATTGCACTCAACAGATCTTTACCTGATATTAGGCTGGAAGGGTAAGTGTATTTATTTTACACACAGTGAGATGGATGTTTTCAGAATAAAATAAAAAGTTTGATTTTTTTATTTGGAATGAATGTGCATCGGATGGAACATTGGAGTACACTAAAGAGCACAATTTTCTTTTTTTCCCTGGGAAATGAAGCAACCTAAAGATACTCCTCTTATCCCTAGTTAGAATAAAAGAATAAAAAGACATTTCTATCTCCTTAGCATAACTCAGTGTCCAGTTAAACCAACAGCAGCATCCTGGAGACCATCATTTCTCCAGTACAGGAGATGGAGAATCCACCAATGGGTTTTCTCTGTCTGCCTGCTCTTGAGACCAAGTAGCCAAACTTGACACGCCCCCTCTTGCTAGAGATCCAGTCTTAACTTGGTCTCAGCTCTTGAAGACGTATCAGGTTTGGCTCTCAGCAGATAGCAGGTTAGAAAACTCCATTGGTGAATTCTCCTTTCCTCAATATTTGGCTAAAACAATAATTTGGAACTCCCTTTAACAAATTTAACAAAATTCCCTAACTCAATCGTGATTTGAGGTGTGTTGGGGGAGGGGGGAGGTCTTTGCAGCCTTCCTGCTTCCAGTTCCCCAGGGCTCTGGGGAACAACTTCCAAGCAGGGGCTGTTTGGATCGTATCACATTCTTCCCCCCCCCTTTTTTTCCCTTCCGTTCTTGGTGCTACCGGGCACAATTTCAGGCTGCAGGTCTGAAATTCAATTTTGAATTCAGACCTTCGGAATATCCCAGGCAGCCGAGAACAGCCGCGGACGCCATTTTAGTTGCCGGTAAAGGCAACGAAGCTAATTCAAGCCTCGTTTTTGCCTGCCATTCAGAGGCAACTTTGTGGAGCGAAATTCAGTCTCGCTTTTGCCTACCGTTCGGAGGCAAGTTTACGGAGCGCATTTTCGACGCAGCGCTTAGTGCTGCCACCGCGTTTGCCCCAGCTCCAGGACCTTCTTTTTTGAGGCCGCAGAGACCGTTCTCAGTGAGAACAAGTCGTGGCCGCCATTTTGGGACCGCCGACAAGGACGAAGAGCTGCGAACGGCCTTTTCTTTGGTGTTCCTAGCGCTCTGTTCCATTGGTAGCTCAGTTGACACAGTCCTTTTCAGGGCCTTAATTTCCAATTTTGCTGCCCTCCTCTGGGCATAAATTGTGAGTTCATCCCTGACGGCCGCCATCTTAAACGCCACGTGGGGGCTTCTTTAGGCCCAACGAGGCCTACTCACAGTAGTTGGGCTGCCATTTTAAACGTCACGTGGGGGCTTCTTTAGGCCCATCAAGGCCTACTCACAGTAGTTGGCCTGACATAGGCCGCATCTGGGGTGTGTCTCTCTGTATCACACATCACTCTCTGCAATACAAATACAAATTGGGTAGCCTCCAATTGAGCCTGAATTTCCTTGCCAGGACCCCTTTTTTTCGTCTCAGGCCCTCTGCGCCCTCTTTGGGGCTTTTCCTTTTTGCTGGTGCACATTGACTGGCCACCTAAGGCCTCCGGGCGGAGCCCAGAGCGGGTCCCCAACCGTGCCTTTGGCATCTGACTCAATTGCCGTGACCAAAGCCCAGATAGAATTATTTTCTGGTCAGGTGAGCAGTCTTGTTACTTGTTCCAATTTCGCTTCCGCCAACTGCTTGCCTGCCAGAGCTTCGTTCTCAGTTTTTCTGAGACTGCTCACCCAGGATGGAGGACTCACCGTTGCCTCAACCCATGAGCACTGCCTCCCCATCCTCTAGTTACGGCCAGCACAAATCCTCTAAACAGGAGGCGGCAGGCAAGCCCAAATCTAAGGCCAAAACCACACTCAAGAAGCCTTCTAAGTTGGCGGAAAAGCAAGCCAGCCGTAGGCACCAGGCTGTGGAGAAGGAGTTCTCCAGAGTGCAGAGACAGGTCGGACTGGAGACGGATCAAATGGCGGCCTCTGAATTTGACCTTCCTTTAGGCCCTTCAACCTCGGCCCAAGGTGTGTGGTCTCTCACAGGGATCGTATCACATTCAGCTCCCCTTCTGTATTGGCTCAACAGACAACAACGGCCTCAGGCCCAGTCCCAGAGGTCACACTCAGTTCCCCTTCTGTATTGGCTCAACAGACAACAATGGCCTCAGGCCCAGTCCCAGAGGCCACCTTCACTCCTACGGCCGCAGGACTCAGGGGTCCGGACATCGGAGACATTTTCTCCGACGGCCGTCTTGAGGCCTTACTATCTAAGATTGTGGACCGTGCTCTAGCGGAAAGGTCCTTTCCTCCGTCTGTGCAAGGGGCTTCCACATCGACCATGCCACCGTATGTTCCCTCCACGGGATTTCCTATTCCTCTGGAGCCGACATCTCCTGCACACTCTTCCATGAGTGGATACTCATCTCCGCAAGGTGAGGAGCAGCCGGAATTTAATCTATGTGAGGAGGAGGAACTTCCACCTGAACCCTCCCCATCGGGAGGTCTGTTCAATCCAGCCCTTTTTCTTCCCCTACTTCGCAAGGCCACATCAACGGCAAACATAGGGTCCGATCAGTTCCCTCAGCCACAGGCAACTTCTGAGTCCAGTCCAAATCCAATATTTTTTGAAACGGTGGCAGCCCAACATCACGTTCCATGTCCCTCTATTTTTCTCAACGGGATCAAAAAACAATGGGCCTCCCCTTCCTCCTTCCCTTCTGTAAGTGGGTCTGATAGAAAGATTTTCAGCACCTCCACAGATCTCACTGATGCCCTAGAGGTCCCCAAGGTTGATGAAGCCTGGACCCCTCTGGTTTCCCAGACCGCGGTTGCGGGAGACATGTTGGAAGCGCTTAAAGCGGACGACAAAAAATGGACCCAGACCTTTCGGAAGACCCATCAATCAGCAGCATGGGCAATTAAAACGGCCACTTGTGCGTCCTTTTTTGTGCGTACCACCCTTTTATGGCTGCGTCAGCTTCAGGCCAGGGTTCCTGCTGAGGACATTAGCACCCATCAGGACCTAAGCAAAATGGTGGCGGCCACTGAGTACGCTGCGGACGCAACGCTCCAGTCGGCCAACTTTGCTTCTAGGTCTCTGGCATCCAACATTACAGCCAGGAGGATGCTTTGACTGAAACACTGGCAGGCCAATGCCAAAGCCAAATGGCGTCTTGCGACTGCTCCATATCTGGGCAATAATCTTTTTTGGGGAGGCCCTGGCCCCGTACCTTGTGGAGAACAAGGACAAGCGGAAGGTCATGGCCCACTTGGACAAACGGGCTGACAAACATCCCGCTCCCTATTTCCGCAGGCAGTCCTTTCGGCCAACCGCAGGCCCATCAGTCTCTCAGCCTTCCCGCTCATACACACCCAGACAGGGTAGGCCGTACGACTGTCCGTATGACAGGCCAGGCTTTTGGTCCAGACAGCAGAGTCAATCTAAGCGGCCATTTCGAGAGGCAGGACGCCCCTACAGGAGGTCCAAGTGACTCTTACACTGCACTTCCCATCGGAGGAAGGCTGGCCCACTTCTTCCATCAGTGGGAACTCACTTCCACGGACACCTGGGTCTTACAAACTATCCAGTTTGATCTGTCTCTGGAATTTCTGGCCAGCCCCCCAGACCGATTCATCACCTGTTCTGTTTCCCGGGATCCACTCAAACAAGGACTCATGCAGGAGGCCATTCAACATCTTCTAGAGATTCAGGCCATAGAACCGGTACCACCGGACCACAAGGGAGGGGGATTCTACTCCATCCTCTTTGTGGTCCCCAAGACCTCAGGGGGATGGAGAGCGATCCTGGACCTCAAGGGTCTAAACTATTACATCACTTACAAAAAGTTCAAGATGCAATCACTCCAGTCCATTCTGGGGGGCATCAGACAAGGAGACTTCCTGGTGTCAATAGACCTTATGGAAGCGTACCTCCACATCCCCATCCATCCAGCTCACCGATGGTTTCTCAGGTTCTGTTACAGGGGCAGGCATTTCCAGTACAAGGCCCTTCCTTTCGGCCTCTCCTCGGCACCCAGGGTGTTCACCAAGATCCTGGCCGTACTAGCCGCCCACTTGAGGAAGGTACCAATATGCGTCCAGTGTTACCTGGACGACATCCTGATCCAAGCGTCATCCTTCCAGGCAGCTCAGGCGGACCTGAAACTTACCATTCAGGTCCTCCAACAACATGGTTTCTTGGTCAATTTCCAAAAAAGCCAGACGGTTCCCTCATCCAGGCTTCCGCACCTGGGAGCCGTCATAGACACCACAAACTGTATGGTCTATCTCTCCCAGGAGCGGGTGATCAGCATCAGAGACCTGGCTCGTCGGGTGTACAGGGACCGTCCCGTGCCACTGGTCCTACTTTCCCAACTGTTGGGAAAGATGGTCTCTTGCATAGCCATAGTTCCCTGGGCCAGGCTCCATTTGCAGGATCTCCAATGGTTCCTCCTACCATTTCAGCGGGTGAATGCCAGCGCTTCCAACCATCGGGTCAGGGTCCCGGTTCACATTCTCAGGTCCCTGCGCTGGTGGTTCTCACAAGCGGTGACCAAGGGGTCACCCTTCAAGGAACCGGACCGCATCACCATTACAACAGACGCCAGTCTATTCGGTTGGGGAGCCCATCTACAGTCTCAGTTTGCGCAGGGCCGTTGGTCACACACAGACTTGAGGCACAATATCAATTGGCTGGAGCTCAGGGCCATCCACCTAACTCTTTGCCAATTCAGGCACTGTATCAGGGGACGTCACGTGCTGATCCTTTCAGACAACGTGGCATCCAAGGCACATGCCAATCATCAAGGGGGCACCAGGTCCAGGTCTCTCATGTCCGAGGCACAGCTCCTGGGTTCCTGGGCAGAGGCCACCCTGGCCTCTCTCAGGGCTGAACACATCTCGGGGGTCAAGAACCGGCAGGCAGACTTTTTGAGTCGCTCCATGGTGGACCGCTCGGAGTGGGGGTTGTATCCGGATCTGTTTTCCGAGATCTCCCACAGGTTCGGCCATCCGATCCTCGACCTGTTTGCGTCATCAACCAATGCCCAGCTCCCCGGG